CAAACTAAAAAGTTTATGATTTATATATTCCAAAAATGCCTAGGGAAGAAAGAAAAAAATGATTTTATTGTATAAACTAAAAAAATTTAAGCGTCTCCTCATCCTCCACCTCAATAGTCACTAGCAGCGGTGATCATCTGGGCCGACGGTCGGAACCCCATCCACATAGTCTCCGACGTAGTGGCGGTGATCACCAGCACTGTCGTCGTCGGAACCCTCATCTTCATGTATCCGCCCGGAACTCTCATCACAAGGGGAACTCCGATTCCGGCGTCTATGAAAGCGTTGACCGGAGACGGCCTCAAGAGGGAAATCTGAAAGCGGATGTGAGGGTGATGTAAACTATAATTATTCGTGTTAAACCATTCATCACAAATAAACATGAATCCCATAATCTTAGAATTTCATGATTTTCACATATCTATAATGCATAAATAAATAGTTAGATATAAATACCTCGATTCATGATATCAAACCTTATTGAGATTAAATCCAACTTCTAGATCCTTTAACCACGAGCTAATCTGCAACTCTGATCAATAGGCAAAGGTAGAAACTGATTTCTCTCTCTTGGCCTTTTGTATACATAAAACTTTTACGTGTTGTATCATTAATTGTACATAATTGATGGAATATATGCACTTTTATAAAGGCAGAGAGAGGACCAGTTTTCTTTATAGTAACATAATTCTACTTTCCATCAAAGTAAGGAATAAGAAAGGAAAACACTTCTCCAATAAGTAATTACCAAAAAGGTAACTATAAGTTGACCAAAAATAAATAATATTAATTGATATCTATTTACTTACCCACCAAGTAATATGTCACATGTCCAAATCATGTGGGCCACAATTAAATAAATAATTTTACATTCTCCCACTTGGCACATATGATAATTTCTGTAGTGGTTTAGTAAAATAGTCATTAATGTGCACCATAAATCAGATTAACTTATTAAATTGGTCATCATAAATACCATGGTAAGTAAATTACCAATGCGAGTCATGGCGATTATATATCCTTAAATGACACAGTCCCTTCCATGTACCACAATACTAGTAATCTATTCAACATAGTCTATAAATGAGAAGTATCAATAATGATCTAACAATAATGTCTTTTCCAAGACTATTGCTATTACCACTTATTAAAGCAATACGTACATGTACATTAATTAATAGGAAATATCAGAAACACATTTAATCAGCGCAAAATGTCAAATATATATAAGCACTATTTAAGCAATTCACAATTAAAAAATAATCATCATTGACTACATTTAAGACCCATTCTTTCAATATGTTCTATAAATGTCTTGGATGTTAGTCCATTCATTAATGGATTGCAATTTGTGTGCTTATAATTTCAATAGACATTTGTTGTTTCTAAATATCTTCTTTAATGATAAAGTATTTCAACTTTAGAATACCTATCATTTTTCATACAAGAAGATCAACAATTGCAGCATAAATTTTCAGCAATCTGAAAACGGTACCTATAATTCCAAGTCCTGAAATAAATTCTGCAACCATAAATTATAGCCTCAAAGCATGCTACAAATTAAAATTTCATAATAGACAAAGTAATAATAAATTACTTTGCACTTTTTCATAATATTGTTCCTCCAACCAAATCTTCTAGAGCTCTTTTAATATATGCTTTATGAGACAATTCTAAAAACAAATCAATGTGATCTATAATGAAATATTTCTATTCCTATCACATAGGATGCCTCATCCATATATTTCATTTCAAAATTCTTAGAGATAACTTTTAGTTTCATATAATAAACTAAGATAACTACTAACAAATAAAATATCATCAATATATAGAATCAGAAATATAAACTTACTCCCACTAACCTTCTAGTATATATACTGATCAACAGTGTTTTTCTTAAAACCAAAAGAAATAATGGTATCATTAAAATTAATATACCATTGTTAGGAAACTTGTTTAAATCCATATATTGACATCTTAAGTTTACGGACCATGAATTCTTTACCCTCTACTCTGAAGTCTTCAAGTTGTTCCATATGGACTTCCTCTTATAAACTCCTATTCATAAAAATTGTATTCACATCCATTTGATGTAACTCTAAATCATTATAAGCTACTAATGCCATGATATTTTAAAAGATTCCTTCTTAAATATTAGAGAGAAGATTTCTTTATAATCTCTTCATTCATGACACTAATCCATTTAGTAAAATCATTACTGTTAATGGCTTGTGAATATGTAACCGGATCCGTATATATCTCACTATATATCAAAATCAGATTCTTGCAGATATATCACATAGTCATCCGGAATAGCAGATCTCCTTTCTCTTTGAGATCGTCTTAATGTTATTCCTTATGATTCTTCTACAATCTATTCATTGGTGACAATCTCATTATAGAGTTGTTGATCATTTAATTGTTCTTCGTTGTTATACGGTTCAACAACTGAAGGAACAATTATTTCCTTATAAGTTATGGGTAAAGATATTTGTACTCTAACTTCTAAAATTATCAAATTCTTATTTTTATCACTCCCACTAATTTTACCATTTTTAATGAATCTGACATTACCGGTTTCAATAATTATCGTACTATGTTTCAGATAGTAAAACTTGTACCCTTTAGATTACTTAATATCCACAACATTATGGGTAACGAGGAATTACTTAACATACTCCTAACCAATTCCATAAGAGTACGATTACGCTTTACAGCTACACGCTTTTGCTGTGGCATGTATAGTAAAGTGTATTAAACACAAATGGCATACATTTCAAGGAGTTTAACAAACGGTTAGAGTATTAACCTGTTTCATCATACTTTACATAATATTCACCACCTCTATATGACCTTATGATTTTCACTTTCTATCTAGTCGTTTTTCAACCTCATTTATGTATACTTCAAGAGTACCCACTGCTTGAGATTTTTCATATAACAAATAGATATATCCATAACATGAAAAATTAATTATAAATGCGATAAAATACTTTTCTCCTCCAAAAGATGGAACATCAGAAGGTCTACAAATAATTTCAAGAAGCTATGTACTTATTGTGGCTCATTTCTTTGTGCGTTTAGTTTGTCTACGTTTAATACAATCTACACACATATCAAAATCAGTAAAATTTAGATTCAGAAGAATCACATCCTTTACTAATTTTCCTAACATTTCACTAGATATTGACCTAGTCTTTTATGGCAATGATAAATTTTCTATTAATTGAGTTACGCTTAATTTTAACATTATGATACAAGATCAAAAGGATTTTAATTTATTTACCATCAAATTTGAATTTACAAAAACCATCAACAATAATACCATAACTCACAAATTATAATTTCTTAAATAAATATCATTACCAAATTTAAATGAAAAACCATTAACATAAAGTTTTTGAAATAAATTCAAATAATGAGAAATTGAATAAACATAAATTTTTTAAAATAATTTAAATAAAATCCATTGTCTAACATTAAACATAGTGTTACAATGGTTTCAACAAAACTTTTTCCCAATTATCATAAATAAGAAATTCTTATTTGAATTTGTGATTTAGGTCATAAAAAATTCTTGCATTTATTAGAAACATAAATATTAGTACTTAAGTCAACCTATCATGTATTACAAAGAATTTTAACAAGTAATTCGCAATATACAAAAGCCAAAAGCGTACTTTTCTTTTTCGAATCATTCTTTATATGTCATGTAATCTTTCTAAAAGTGTTCAATACATTAATGACACTTTTTCATTATTACATTACTTTCTTTTAGTAGATTGACCTAAATCTTTTAATTTTGGGTGTAGCTCACTTATTGCCTTTTTTGACTTATTCCTAAATTTCTTTCTAACTTTTTGAGTCGTCAGATAAACATAATGATTACCTTGCTACTTAAGTTTTGTCTCCTCATAAATTAACATAATGGTCAATTAAATCACTTTCCCCTTGTCTTAATAGTGTTAATTCGAAATGACCCATACTGAATAGACAAGAAATTGAGAATAAATTGAATAATAAAATTCCCATTCACAATTGATAGGGAAAAATAACCCTAGCCAATCTTGACTTAACAAAAAAGGGAATTAAATATTGACCGGCCACTAGATTTTTCCAACTCTCAGACGATAATATTTCGTTATTAAGGATAACCATTTTATTAGATAAGAATGATGACAAATCGTATCTAGGATAGGATTTGTCATGGGATAAGTTCAAATCTTATCAAGGATAGGATTTCCACGAGGTAGGCTCCATGGGCTAAGGACGATGAAACTCCCTTATCAAGAATAAGGGAAGTGACTATAAATACAAAGATGACCCGGGAATAAGGTACACACAAAAAAAACTCCTACTAAGCAAATTACGATTAAAATTCTCTATCGAGAATCCTTGCTAACTTGATCGTCGGAGGGTCAATGGCCGGCACCACACCGGTGTTTGACTTTGCCATCCTTATTTTGCAGGAAACGGTGTCGTACTAGACCGCGGCGAAATTCAACCTCAATAGTTGGCGCCGTCTGTGGGAACAGCGATTCCCTTGAATCGATTTATTACTCGTTGGGTATAGACGTTTGCGGTCCGATATGGTTACCGAAGGAACACCGTCGCAGGGATCTGGTCAAAGGGAAGAGTCGGGTGAAAATCTAGACGTCCCAAATGACCAGACACGATTTGCAGCGTTGGAACTGCAGGTCCAAACTCTGAATCAGGGTATGGACCAGTTAATCCAACAAAATACAGCACTCCTGCAACACCTTGTTCCACCCGTTCAACAGGGCTTGCCACGCCAAGACCTCTCGAATCCAAACAGGGGTAATGGGAATCTGGAAGAGCAGGATACTCATCCTCCCCGACATGAGACCGAAGTTGAACAAAGCCAGGTGGGAAACCGACATAGAGAGGTGATCCACCCCTTTCTTCCACGGAGTTCCTGACCCCATGAAGACACGACTGTCATTGAAAAGACCAAGGAAATTTCCCACGTTGACCTAGAGATGCAGGATCTCAAGGCAAAGATAGAGGGTGTGATGCAGACCATGAAGGGAAAAGGCATTGCAGCCATAGATGGTTTGGTGCAGAAAACCAATTTGCCATTCAGCCCCTCGGTTATGAAATGCCCTTTGCCAAACAAATTTAGAATGCCCACAATTGAGAGTTTCGACGGAACTAAAGATCCCCTCGACCACTTGGAGACTTTTCAGGCGCTTATGCACCTACACGCGATACCGGATGAGATCATGTGCAGGGCTTTCCCAACGACTCTTAAAGGATCATCACGGGTATGGTTCAACAAACTAAAGCCAGGAACCATCAAAACCTTTGAAGAATTGAGTAAGGGCTTTGTGGGCCATTTCATTGCTGGCCAGAGGCATAGAAGGCCGGCTACCCACCTCCTTACTGTGAAGCAACAGAAGGGAGAGTCACTGCGAGATTACATTAGTCGTTTTAACACGGAGATGTTACAGGTGGAGGAAGCGGATGACAAGGTGGCCCTAGCCGCCTTCATGGGAGGACTTCAAACCTCAAGATTTCTCTTCTCTTTATCAGAGGAACCTCCTACCAACATGGCCGAGTTATTGGTTCGAGCTAAAAGACATATGAATGCTGAAGATGCAATGATTGCGAGAAAGGGAAAAGAAGGGGAGGATAAGAAGTCAAACAAGAAAAGGCCGGCCCTGACGATCAGAGATGAAAAGGAAACCAAGTATAAGAAACCCATGGTCAACCAGAATGAAAGGGCATCTCGCTATAAGAACACGGAGAGGTATACAAATTACACTCCTTTAAATATGCCGATAGATCAAGTTTTCCTACAGATCCAGGATGAACCATATCTGAAGTGGCCACCGAAGTTGAAGTCAGATCCGGCAAGGAGACCTCGTGATAAGTATTGCAGGTTCCATAAAGACCATGGGCACGCTACAGAGGATTGCTTCGACCTTAAGGATCAAATTGAGACTCTGATCCGAAGGGGGCACATGCGAAAATTTATTGTGGGGAATGACAGAACCGACATTAACCCACTAAGAGCAGGCCGAGATAACCACCCTCCTGATCAACAACCAATAGGAGAGATCAGGGTCATAGCCGGGGGGTGTGCAGGAGGTGGAGAATCGGGCTCAGCCCGTAAGGCCTATACAAGGAGAATGCGAAGCTCATCTGAGGTGTGCGAAGTGGGAGTACAGATTCAACATCGAAAGATGCCTCGTTTAGGTGATCCAGTTATTACATTCTCAGATGAAGACATGAAAGATGTGCAGCAACCTCATGACGACCCTCTTGTCGTCACCATGATGATCGCTAACTATAATACTCGGCGAATCTTGGTAGATAATAGAAGTTCAGCTGATATCATTTTTCTTGATGCATTCAGCAAGATGAAGATTGGTAAGGAGAAACTCAGACCTACCAGATCACCATTGGTGGGATTCACGGGAGACAAAGTCTATCCTCTAGGAGCAGTCATCCTTCCTGTCACTGCAGGAACCAGCCCAAAACAAGTCACTGTCATGGTCGACTTCCTGGTGGTGGATTGTCCATCTGCTTACAATGTCATCCTAGGAAGAGCGACCTTAAATTCGATGAGGGCTATCACTTCGACTTATCACCTATTAATGCGCTTCCCTACCGAGCATGGCGTGGGCGAACTAAGAGGAGATCAGTCCATTGCCAGAGAATGCTACGTTGCCTCTCTCAAAGAAAAGAGACAGCAGGAGGCTTTGATTGTCGATGAAGTTGAAGAGAATGAGCAAGACCGGGCTAAGCCAATCGAGGACTTGGTGGAGATATGCTTGAATGACACTGACATAACAAAAAAGGTGAAGATAGGGTCTCTACTCCCCTCAGATTTCACAAATATTCTTATACAGTTCCTCAGACAGAATCAAGATGTATTCGCTTGGTCACATGAAGACATGCCCGGTATTAATCCAACTACGATTGAGCATCGATTAAACACAGATCCTACATTCAAACCTATCAGGCAAAAACGAAGAACATTTGCCGCGGAAAGGAACATGGCTATATCAGAAGAGGTGAATAAGCTTATGAAAGCTGATTTCATCCAGGAGGTTCATTATCCCAACTGGTTGGCCAATGTTGTTTTGGTAAAAAAGGCCAATGGAAAATGGAGGTTGTGTGTAGACTTTACAGATTTAAATAAGGCGTGCCCCAAAGACAGTTTCCCTTTGCCAAGAATTGATATGTTGGTAGAAAGGACAGCTGGCCATGAGCTGCTCAGTTTTATGGATGCATACTCAGGGTATAACCAAATCTCAATGCACACGCCAGACAGAGATAAAACCTCTTTCATCACGGACAGAGGTTTATATTGCTATAAGGTGATGCCTTTTGGGCTAAAAAATGCTGGTGCAACATATCAGCGGCTAATAAACCTGATTGTTAAGGACCAAATCGGAAGGAATATGGAAGTGTATGTGGATGACATGCTGGTAAAAAGCTTGAAAGCTCAAGACCATCTGGTTGATCTACAGGAAACGTTCCAAGTCCTCAGGAAACACCAGATGAAGCTCAACCCAAGTAAATGTGCCTTCGGAGTCTCCTCTGGGAAATTCCTCGGTTACATGGTAAGTAGAAGAGGGATAGAAGCTAACCCTGAGAAGGTCCAGGCGATTCTCAACATGCAGTCTCCAGCATCGACCAAGGAACTTCAAAGATTGACAGGAAGGATCGCAGCTCTGAACAGGTTGATTTCTAGGGCGACCGATAGGTGTTTGCCTTTTTTCCGTGTGCTCAGGAAAGCTTTTTCATGGACCCCTGAGTGCGAGCAAGCTTTTACAGAGCTAAAGGAGTATCTCACTTCACCACCATTATTGTCGCGGGCGATGCAAGGAGAACAGTTGTATTTATACTTGGCAGTTTCTCCGTCGGCAGTAAGCTCAGCCTTGGTCCGTGAAGAGGATGGAAACCAGAAACCGGTATATTATATTAGTCGTGCATTCAGGGGGGCGGAAGAAAGGTACCCAAGGATAGAAAAGTTGGCATTTGCTCTAGTTATCTCCGCGAGGAAACTCAGGCCTTACTTCCAAGCTCATATAATAATAGTATTGACGGACCAACCACTTAGGCAGGTTCTCCGCAAACCTGATACTTCAGGGCGACTCATGAAGTGGTCGGTAGAACTTGGAGAGTTCGATATCCAATACAAACCCCGAACGGCCTTAAAAACCCAGGTACTAGCAGATGTTATAGCGGAATTCACACCAGAAGATGGGCTCGAGCATGCTGCAGATAAGCAGGAAGAAGCCAAATCTACTTGGACGTTATATGTGGATAGGTCTGTCAACGCCCGTGCAAGTGGGGCAGGGCTAGTAATTATCTCCCCAAATGGGGAATGCATCAAATATGCACTTAGGTTTGGTTTTAAAGCAACCAATAATGAGGCAGAGTATGAAGCCCTCCTAGCAGGCCTCAGGATGGCGAAAGCTTTGGAAGTTGAACGACTAGTAGCATATACTGACTCTCAACTAATAACTGGACAAGTCCAGGGGGAATATGAAGCCAAGGATGAGAAGATGAAGACCTATTTACATAAGATAGAGGATATCAAGGGTTTTTTTAAGAAGTTTTCTATTCACCGGATTCCCCGAGAAGAGAATGCGCAGGCAGACGCCCTGGCTCGACTGGCAACCACAGAGGAAGATAAAGCCATACCCGTGGGATATTTGGATGAGCCTAGCACGGTCTGGGATTGGCCACAGAAAATACACCAGGTGGCCCATGGCATGGAGTGGGCAGAACCCATTATCAGGTACATTAAGAACGAAGAGCTACCCCAGGACTGCATGGAAGCACGAAAGATTAGGATGCGTACGGTAAAATATTCCCTCGTTGATGGGGTTCTCTACAAGAAGGGATTTTCTCTACCCTACTTGCGTTGTGTCTCCATTGATGAGGCAAATTACATTCTAAAGGACATACATGAAGGCCTTTGTGGAAATCATGCTGGGGGCAGATCACTAGCGCATAAAGCTATCCGACAAGGATACTTTTGGCCTACAATGAAGACAGATGCACTTGAATTTGTGAAGAAATGTGACAAGTGTCAGAGATTCGCCAATGTCCCAAAATAACCAGCAGAAAAGTTAACCCCTCTTACTGGGCCGTGGCCTTTTGCCCAATGGGGGACAGACCTCATCGGCCCCTTACCCCAAGGGAAGGGACAAACTAAATACGTAATTGTGGTTATCGATTATTTCACCAAATGGGTAGAAGCTGAGCCATTAGCTCATATTGGAGCGAATGAAGTAAAAAAGTTTTTCTGGAAGACAATAATCTGCAGGTTCGGAGCACCAAGGGTAATTGTGACCGATAATGGGAAGCAGTTTGAAAGTGAACAGTTCCTCGATTTTTGTAATGAACTTGGGATCAAAGTTCATTTCTCCTCTCCTACCCATCCCCAAGCCAATGGGCAAGTTGAAGTCACGAATAGGACAATATTGAAGATGATCAAGACGCGCCTAGAAAAGGCCAAGGGCTTGTGGCCTGAACAACTACCCGGAGTTTTATGGACCTATTGCACTACCATAAGAACCCCTACTGGGGAGACCCCTTTTAGGTTAGCTTTTGGAAGTGAAGCTGTGATCCCGATAGAAACAAAGGTTGCTACCTTCAAAACCAAGTATTTTGAACCTCAACAGAACGGGGTGGAACTACAATTAAACCTAGACCTGGTAGAAGAGAAAAGGGAGCAGGCCCAGGTCAAGGTTGCGGCTTACCAGCGGATGATATCCAAGTACTACAATGCCCGAGTCAAGCCAAGGAGGTTCGAGCCAAGAGACCTGGTGCTTCGCGAGGTTACCCCGGCTACTAAGGAAAAGGGGGAAGGAAAGTTAGCTCCCAATTGGGAGGGCCCTTATCGAGTAACCAAAAGCAACAGACCGGGGGCATACTGGTTAGAGTCACTTGGTGGGAGCCAGCTTCCCCACCCATGGAATGCAGAACATTTGAGGAAATATTACCAGTAGGTACTCATGCCAGGCTGTGTTTTATTTTATTATCTCATTTTTAAAAGTGATAGAATGTTTCTAGCTACAATAAAGCAGACCAGTGTGTAACGGATGCTAATATTCAACTATCGATTATTATTTTCGATAGGTCTTTAATAAAATGGTTATTCGTATTTATTGCACGTGTTTCTACTGAATTTTATAAGTCACATAAGGACTAGTGACACATTAAGTCCCCTTTTTTATTAAAAGAAATAAGTGACTTTTCCTTACTAAAGGGACGAGCTGGGTGAAGCTCGTAAAAATATGTTCCTTCGAAAGAAGGACGGGCTGAGTGAAGCCTGGGAAAGTAAAATGAGTTCTGTATAAGGAAACAACAAGTATGAAACAATACCATGAAAGACAAAAGTAGAGCAACTATTCTCTGGATTCAGAGATATTCTGAAAAGTTTTAAAGGAACAACATACTGAGAAATCAAAAAACCTAATATATATATATATATATATATATATGACTAATACTATGGAATTCAATCTTCCTCTTCGCTCTCACTTAGAACGTCATACCTCGAAAAGTCTATGTCTGGATGATCTTTGCCGACAAGAGCTTTGAACCGGTCAAAACCATCACAGCAAGCCTTGCCTATGAGCACTTTGAATTCATCATAATTTTTAAAACTCTCCACGGCAGCTAGCTTCTCGAATTCCAGCTTATCAGAGTATTCTTTGGTAAGTTTCACTTTCTCATCTTGAAAGTTTAATTTTGCATTAGTCAAGTCATCTTCTTTTATTTTAAGTGTAGAAGTAACATCTTCATATTTAGCCTTGAGGGAAGCCATCTCTAGGGAAAGCTTCTCGTATTCTTTGGCGATAACAACAGAGTATGTAGTGCCCTATAAATAAATAAATAATGGCGAACAGTTAAAAATAAATAAATAAATAAATGAAAAAAAAAGAGATGCGCATAATAAGGGTAAAATCTCACCTGGCTGATTAGATGAAGAAATTTCTTTGAAAGCTCAGATGCTGGCAGACTCTGCAATCTGGCAGTGTCTTCTTTTACTACCATTTTATGTAACCTGTCATTCGCGACATTAGCGTCATCGAGAACCGATTCCCCGTGGGAAAAGGCTTGGTTGGTTGCTACTGAACAAAAACTTTCGAAACTAGTAGGAACCCCACCAAATCCGCTGAAACCTAGAGGTACAAGAGTAGGACCTGATAACACTCCAGGGCTTGCGGATGTACCATGATTCCCTTCTCCTACACTTCGTAATTTTTTGGAAGCAGGAGTAGAAGGGAGATTACTTTACCGGACTTGGGCTAGGAGTCTTTTACTGAGCTTTTTGCCTGCATAAAAAGTAATAAGGGAAATACTTAATGAGATATTAACTAAAATCAATAAGTTCACATATAAGTATGTTTGTTTTTCTTACCTTTCTCTAAGTGGGTGGAGGTTTCCTTTGAGCTATGAGCTCGTACATACAAATCTAAAGCCTCGTCAGTTATGAGATCGCTAAAGGTCTTTACTGGGTAAGAAGAGGCATTACCAACATACTCGGCTTCTGGAATGGAGAGGGTTGGTTTGTCCTTAAATTCTGGGAAAAAGAATAATAAGTTGCAAAAAAAAAAAAAAATTCAATTCCCTATTCATGAACAGTACCCGAGGGTACTATTCCCTCGGGTGCAAAAAAAAAAAAAAAAAATTCCTATTCATGAACAGTACCCGAGGGTACTATTCCCTCGGGTGCAAAAAAAAAAAAAAAAATTCCTATTCATGAATAGTACCCGCAGTACTGTTCATGAACAGTACCCGATGGTACTGTTCCCTCGGGTGCAAAAAAAAAAAAAAAAAAAATCCTATTCATGAATAGTACCCGCGGTACTGTTCATGAACAGTACCCGAGGGTACTGTTCCCTCGGGTGCAAAAAAAAAAAAAATTCCTATTCATGAATAGTACCCGCAGTACTGTTCATGAACAGTACCCGATGGTACTATTCCCTCGGGTGCAAAAAAAAAAATAATAATAATAATTTGGAAACTATATACATATAAATCTTACCTGTTGGATCTGAATTATTCCAAATAGTTGGAAATTTCCCGTATGCACCGGAAATAAAGAAGAAACGACTCTTCCAACCTCTATTATTTTCAGGGGTTGCAACAAGGAGGAATGTCTTCTTTGATCTACACTGGAAGTACCAAAAATTGTCTTTTTTCTTCTTGGGATAATAAAAATGCATGAATTGATTTACTGTTAGACGGCCATTGCCACACTTTCCCCAAACAATCAAACAGCCTATAATAATTCTCCATGAATTAGGAGCAATTTGAGAAGGAGCTATCTTCAGATGAGAAAGAATTTCTTCTACAAATGGATGAATCGGAAAATGCAAGCCCGCAGCAAAAGTCGACTCGAAAAAACATACCTCACCCAAACGAATAGAAGAACATCTATCTTCTGGTTTGGGTTTGTGAAGACTAATAGATGAAGGAATGGAATATTTAACTCTACAACTCTGTAAATTCTCATCCTTCATTAAGGATTCTCCTTCACGAGGAGGTTGCTTGGAAAAAGCAGTCCTTGGTCTTGAGGAGTAATCAACACCAGATTCATCAGCATAGTCAGGATCGAGTTCTTCAACACTTTCAGAGGTTGAGTCCTCGGATTGAGATTCAGTATTCAAGTTATTTTTCTGCACGAACATGATGAGGTATCGGATATCGCAAAAATAGCGAAACCACTTTGGAATTACACCAATAACCTGGTAGAGACAACTTGACCTAATTACGTATCTACAACGATCCACAATAAACTCACAGTTAGGATCCAGTTTGGAAGATTTCAGACCAAAAAGAAAAGGAAGGTAAATAAATAAATATATATATTTATCTATTTATAGGAAAGAAAATTCTTTTTCAAGTAACAGTGAAGTTCTTGTAAAGGAGTCCTACTACAATATGGAAGGGGCCTGTAGTAAAAAGGAAACAAATGGAATATAGAAAGTATTTCCTTGGTCCACCACGTACCCAGAAATAGGGGGCAACTGATAGGGAAAAATAACCCTAGCCAATCTTGATTTAACAAAAAAGGGAATTAAATATTGACCGGCCACCAGATTTCTCCAACTCTCAGACGATAATATCTCGTTATTAAGGATAACCATTCTATTAGATAAGAATGATGACAAATCGTATCTAGGATAGGATTTGTCATGGGATAAGTTCAAATCTTATCAAGGATAGGATTTCCACGAGGTAGGCTCCATAGGCTAAGGACGATGAAACTCCCTTATCAAGAATAAGGGAAGTGACTATAAATACAAAGACGACCTGGGAATAAGGTATACACAAAAAAAACTCCTACTAAGCAAATTACGATTAAAATTCTCTATAAAGAATCCTTGCTAACTTGATCGTCGGAGGGTCAACGGCCGGTACTACACCGGTGTTTGACTTTGCCATCCTTATTTTGCAGGAAACGGTGTCGTACTAGACCGCGGCGAAATTCAACCTCAACAACAATCATCCATAAGGTTCTCAATTTTGCAGCAACATTAGTCATCTAAAAATACGATCATACATGGTACGAGTACAACAAAAAATCCATAGTAGTTATATCAATTAATAATTTTCGTTTTAGATATTTATCTACAACACGAAAACATTCTTATAATCAAATATTCCTTAGTACTATTACTATGAGGAACAATTATTCGCATAACCATAATGCTTAATCTGTTCGATCTCTCCCAATCTTTATGGAAAATCTTTTCTTCCTCACTGTTTTTATCAGTAATAACGGTAAGTTTCTCAATTTAAAATGTTAAATTAAGATTTAACATATCTAAATTTTGAACTCAACTTACTCATTTCATTATGAGAAGTTAGTCATATTGAGAATCAGAACAGATGTAGCATGCGCATTAAGGGATGTAATAAAACAAATATAATAAGATAAAATCTTAACAACAATAATGCTTTGAATTAACAACACGTATGTATAACTTAAAAATATAAATACAATGTATAACTATAGTACCCCTTTGCGTGGCAACTATAAAATACTAATAATGATGCTTATATGTATTTATATGTATACCTTTATTGGTGATGCATTATTTAATTAAACAAATAAGTTACCTTTGGATATCCTATATTTACCTAATAAAAAAAAAATACATACGACCCTTTAATTTTTATTTAATCACTTGAAAATCAATTCCCTTTGAGGAATTATTTCTCATACTTAAATAAAATCAATATTCATGAATATTACAAAAAATTATAAGTATCATAATTCATGAAATATTGCAATTATGTTTACTACTAAAATTAATATTCATCAACTATTATGGTTAGGCCACTTTGGTAGTTACCAACCTTTACATAATATGAATATTAAATTAGATAGTAACTAATTTATGATTAATTATGTCTATTACAAAAATTAATATTCATCAATCATTATGATTGGGCCACTTTTGTAGCTACCAATCTTCACATAATATGAATATTAAATTAGACAGTAATTAATTCATCATTAAGTTATATTTACTACTAAAATTAATATTCATCGACCATTATGGTTAGGCCACTTTGGTAGCTACTAACCCACACATAATATGAATATTAAATTAACTAGTAATTAATTAATTATTAATTTACCCATTTAACATTATACACACATACTCATAATTGTCGATTAAAGTTTAAGCAACTTCAATCTCAAAAACTTAATAGTCCAAAATTTCATAGAAAATATCTTTTTATTTTATATACATAATAAAATATATTATTTTATTTTCGGACTTAAAGATCATAATTGAATTAATTTAAAATTGATTCTACAATATGTATGTATGTTTGGGTACGAAACAATAAGTTATTTACATGTCTAATTTATTAGATTAAATTTCTAAACTCACAAATTATTCTACAAATTCAAATTCCTAAAATAAATAAATCAATACATATATTTTATGTATTCAATAACTTTAATTTTAATTTATTTTAA